ACTCTTTAGCAGTTTTTTTTAATTAATTTGTAATCTTGTGACACCCTCTATAATTTATTTTAAAAAAATATATTTTATTTTGAAAATAATAAATAAGATAGATATTTTAATTTTAATTTTAACACTCGGTAATTGTAAATTCATATATAGTAAGTATCTAAGACAATTTTTTAAACTCAGTGCCTTTTGATGGAGTTGTTTTGTTTTTATACTATCCGATTGAAATGAATCTTTTTGGGCATTCACCTGTTAAGCTTGAACTCCCTTCCTGTGACTACCTGTGTTAGTAACTATTGGTAACTCAAAAGATCTACATCATTCAATATATTGATATTTGCAAAAAAAGTGAAAGTTTGATATCTGCAGAACAAAGGCACGAAGGATTTTAACAAATAATATACGTACAGTAGAAAAGTACATACCTTTGGCAATCTTCAACATAATTTGGCTTTCTAATAAAATGTATAAGCACTTGTAAATATTTTGTTTTCGTATGATCTCTGCCTTGCTGAGCAGAAAACGACCAAATTTGGTTGATAAAAATGTATCGAAATGCAAAGAATATTCATGCATTTTTGTATCAATTGGAATGTCTACTATTTATTCTTATCAGTACACATTTTTTGGCTTATTTCTAACCAAACGCTTTTGTCCCGCGTTCCGTGTTTAAATTTATCTTCCAACGCACTGTGCGCTCGTCCGTCAAATGCAAAAATAACTGTCACTGTCTAAAATCTTTAGCGCCAACTTCAACTCGGTCAGTAGATGACGTAAAAAAACTGACAGTACAGGAAGATAGGAATCGAACTATCCTTATCTCTATAGTATCCTTGCACATTGCCTCCCACATATACCCAAAAAATATTTTGTTTCTACATCTTTCCGTTTTCGTATAATCAACCGAGGCGAATGAGGTGCGCCACTGTATATCAAATGTAAAAAATAACTGTCATCTTTAGTTAACTTGACACGAAAGTGTGTTTTAGACAGCTCGTTTGGAGCTGTACCTAAACTGAGTTTTGAAGTTGACGAGCCAGTCGAAAAATGGAATTAAGCCGAGAAAATTTTCGCGCAATGATTTTTTACATTTTTGTCTCAACAAGAATGCCTCGCGGAGTTGGTTTCTGTTTTCGACAATGAAGCACCACATCAGTCAACAATTTTTCGTTGGTATGGAGAATTTTAACGTATAATTAAACGAAAAAATGTGTTTTTGTTTTTAAAGTTTCATGCCCTCTAGCGGACAAACGAAGCACTTTTGCATAGAGGTAAATAGTGTCCAATGAACATATTTCGATTCTAAAAATACGTAGTAGTTCTATTTCTACGAAATATTGGGACACCCTGTTGATAGCTCCCTTTGAAAACATCTTTAGTTTCCAGTTACCTCCGTAGTCTAGATTTTTTAATTACTGCAATTTTTCGAAAGTTATGGTGCGTTTAGATTTGAACACGCACGCACTGATCCTCCGCGAATGCTCAAGTGTAAACGGCTGTGCGCGCACGCTCACTCTGAATCTGTCTGTGCGCGAGCAGCCGCGAACGTGAGCCGTCTGGTGTCGGTTGTGATCCGCGCTCAAAGGGATTTTATGTGTGCGCGAACGCTCAGTTTGGACCGGCAATTTGTTTTGTCTGCGTTCGTGCGTGCGTGCGTGATTTTTTCCGTTTTCTTTATTAAAATTATGGAGTGGATCAATGAATCTTCGTTATTATTAATTGAAGAATATGAAAAGTTGCCTATATGATGGGATGTTAAACATTCTTTGTATTATTAAAAAATAAAAAAAACGCATGGCAAGATCTTGTAAATAAAATTAATATTGAATATGTCGATATTAATGAAATTGCTATTCTAAAATTTGTATCTTTTGTTCGTAATTTTTGGTGTTATTAAATTTCGTAAATATTCAAAGTCGAGTCTGGTCATTCTTGTAAAGTTTTTGAACTGATCATAGTCCTCCTCAGACACGAAGTTGTTGCAGTAAATTATATCGATTTCTAAAAATTTGGGTTTGCCACCAGCGACGATGTTTTCGATTTTTCTCCTTTTTAATAATTAAGCTGTGCATAACAATGACTGCAGCCTCGACTATTTCTTGGTCGTTCATTATTTTCGCCAACACAACTCTGCTGTGCGTGCACAAATGGATCACTTCATTCGTCGAAAAATAAGTTTTTAATTTGATTGAGCTGAGAGCGCAAACGAATGCCGTGCGCGCAAGCTCAGCTCGTGCGTGCTCAAGTCTAAACGCACGATTACAGAATTATTCACCGTCAAAACGCAACACTGCTTAAAACGCATCAACTGATTAGTTAAAACACTCAAAGAAGAAAAAACAAATTGTAAAATATATTTCATGATACCTAAATACAAAAGTCAGTGCAGTCCGTGGTAACCTAAAAGTGCAAATATCTTTCTAACAACTAGATTGCTTATTTTGGAATACTTTGAAAATCTCTAACTTCTTTAAAATGCAGGGTTGTTCACCACACCGAGTATTGTAGCTAAACGACACGGAGTATTGTAGCTAAACGATTAGATTTTTACAAATTATAAGTTTTGGGTTCATTGAAGGACTATTAGAGCTACAATTTAAAAATAATTTTACACGATACAGTGTCCCAAATAAGTAAAAAATATTATAGTATTTTTTTTAAATAGTATATTAACCCTGTATATTATTTTATTTTTAGATTCTACGACTGAAATAAAGGTAAAAATTTGATTAGGTTTATCACACTTAAAACCTTACCGTTTTTGAAATATTTTCAATTTTGTGAAATTGCAGTAAAAAATTTAAGGCTTCATTTCTCCAAGGGTACCAAAGTTTTTAATACTAAATATTTACTGAAGATTTTTTATTGATCACATATTGTGTTGCAATAATAAAAATTATACTACTTTATACAGAGCGTCCAAAAATTTATATTAAATAATTACTTCTAGCTTTAAACGGCAATAACTTGTTTAATTTAAATAGAACACCCTATATATTTTACGTGAATCAGATGCACAATTTAATTGTAACAAATTGTATTATACTATTTTTTACTCATCTCATCAGTTTTCGTAGAAAATGAATTTTCTTATAATTTAGACCTCATTTATCACTATACCCATGAAATATTGACATTTTAGTTTTTTTTTAAAGCAACATACAGTGTGTACATAAAGTATGGAATAAATTAATTTTCTCAAACTGGGATTTTAGTAAAAAAAATGCTCGAACGCGTCGGTGTATTTTTAAAAGGTGTACATTTTACGCATATTATCTTGACTCTAGCTTCACCCCCCGAGCGGGGGTGAGTGGCACCCCTAGTTTTTGTAATAGGAAGGGGGGTCGAGTGATACCTTATTTTAAAGGTCACTTTCTCCAGATTATAGCCCTAGAGTTTGAAGTTGCTAGTGTCATCTTTGTTAACATGACAGCTTGTCAAAATTCCTAATTTTATTAGTTTTGTCAAGCTGCCATATTAACAGAAATTACGGTAGCAACTTCAAATTTTGTTTATGATATAAATAGGCATATTACCATATTACCTTGCCTTTAGCTTCACCCACCGAGTGGGGGTGAGTGGCCCCTCTAGTTTTTGTAATGGAAAGGGGGGTCGAAAGATACCTTATTTTAAAGGTCTCTCGCTAGAGATTATAACCCTAGAGTTTGAAGTTACTACCATAATTTCTGTTAATATGGCAGCATGACAAAACTAAGAAAATTAGGAATTTTGACAAGCTGTCATGTTAACAAAGATGACACTAGCAACTTCAAACTCTAGGACTATAATCTGGAGCGAGAGACCTTTAAAATAAGGTATCACTCGACCCCCTTCCCATTACAAAAACTAGGGGTGCCACTCACCCCCCTCTCAGGGGGTGGAGCTGGAGGCAAGGTAATATGACTAAAGTGTGCCCCTTTTATAAAATAGATTGACGTGTTCGAGTATTTTTTTTAATAAAATCCCTGTTCAAGAAAATGAATTTATTCCATACTTTATGTACACACTGTATGTACAAAATGTACACATGGTAAAAATAATAATATTGCAAACCCATTTGTTTACAAAAAGAAAACAATTTAAATCTTTGTAAAAGACTATACCTGTTAAATATACCACCATTATGCAACGAAATGCAACCACACTGTGTAATACATATTCAAAATTCAGTCTTTTAGTATTTGGAGCAATTATTATTAATCAACGTAAACAATCAATTGATTTAGTTTGAATACTGGTATACTGGGATCATATTAATTGGTCTTCTTTACCAAAAAATATTTAAACAATTTTTTTTTATTTTTTAATGAAATAAACGAATTATATCGACAATATTAGAATCTGTACTCTTTGAAAATTTTTAAAAATAATCTAAAATGTCAATATTCCATGGGTATAGTGATAAATGAGGTCTAAATTATAAGAAAATGCATTTTCTACGAAAAGTTGAAGAGAAAGGTAAAACATCGTATAATACAATTTGATAGACAATTAAATTGTGCGCCTGATTCTCGTAAAATATATAGGGTGCTCCATTTAAAATTAAACAAGTTATAGCCGTTTAAAGCTAGTAATTATTTAATATAAATTTTTAGACACTCTGTATAAGGTAGTATTTTTTTTTATTATTGCAGCACAATATCTGATCTATAAATAAACTTCAGTAAATATTTAGTATTAAAAACTTTGATACCCTTGGAGAAATGGAGCCTTAACATTTTTACTGCAATTTCATAAAATTGAAAATATTTCAAAAACGGTAAGGTTTAAGTGTGGTAAATCTTAATCAAATTTACCTTTACTTCAATCGTAGAATCTAAAAATATAATAAAATACAGGGTGTTCCATAAAAAAACAACTATAATATTTTTAACTTATTTGGGACACACTGTATCTTGTAAAAATATTTTTAAATTGTAGCCCTAATAGTCCTTCGACAAATCCAAAACTTACAATTTATAAAAATCTAAACGTTTAGCTACAATACTCCGTGTCGTATGTGGTGAACAACCCTGTATAATTTTCCTTAGAAAATTTTTTTCTTAAAAAATTGAACAAAAATCACAGTTCCCTTTATGAATAACACAAAAAATATTTAAAATACTATTAGGTGAATGAATTTAACATTGAAATTGTCCTGTAATGAATAATTTTGTTCCATATTTCTTAATGTTAAGTTTGTGATGATAACGGTACAGAGAGCTTAAGATGTGACTATTGATGATTTGGAATTTATCATGTATCACAAGTACTTTTTCATTTAAAAAATCCCGCTTAAAATGATCTAATGAAATGTTATTATCGATGATTAAAAGTAAACTATAGGTACTGTTTTCGTTGATTTCAAAACCTTTGCTAGAGATTCTGTTGTGTTCAAACCGAACGCATCGAGCGGTTCACGTGCCATACAAGCTATCCTGAAAAAGAAAAATATTCAAAATTATACCAATCCAATACTTCAATCAAGCCATATATCACAGACAAATACACATCGATTTACAAAATATGATTGTATCATATGTACAGGGTGAGTCAACGATAAAGTCCATTATCTCATTTGTATCGGGATTGACAAAAAAAATTAAATATAAAAATTATAGGGAAGGTTAAGATACATATCTTAAAATTATTATAGAGTATACAAGGTGCTTCAAAAGAGTGTGGCGGATATAACATATGTTTTTTTTAAATGCAACACCCTAATTTTAGGGTTCCATACCCAAAGGGTAAAAACGGGAACCCTATTACGAAGACTTCGCTGTCCGTCCGTCCGTCCGTCCGTCCGTCTGGCACAAAGGTCTATCTCATCAACCGTTATAGCTAGACAGTTGAAATTTTTACAGATAATGTATCTATGTTGCCGCTATAAGAACAAATGCTAAAAACAGAATTAAATAAATGTTTATAAATAAAAAAGTACTTTCACTAAACATTATCTTTTAAGTAAGAATTTTACATAGAATCTTTCAAGTCCTCGGTGGCCGCGTGGTTAAAGCTAGCTATGGGAACTATCGAATGAATTAGACTATCGAATGGTTAATGAATGAATGATTTCAACTATCGAATGGTTTTATTCGAATAAAATCATTCATTCATTTGTATACTAAAGCATATGTGACAACCTCGCCGTGCGACTAAATGGTTATCGTTGAGCCACGACTATCGAATGCTTTTGATAAATGAAATTTAGTATTCGTTTGATTTTTGTATGCGTCAGTGCATTATTAGTTCTTCCAAATTTTTATAACTTCGCTGTATAAATACTGTGCTATTTTTGCGTTTATTAACATAGTTAAAATACTAAAATAGTAGATATTTTTTAATTTTATTTATTGACGATTGTGTGCATGTGCAGGTGGTCAAAATTTTTCCGAAAATTTGTGTGGTTTTCCGTAGTCCGATCTTTCAATTATTTAATTTTATATGGTATATGGTCTATTTTTTAATGGGAAATTTTGAGAAGTAGCAATTTTTAAGAGAGATGCGATGAACTTACAATTAATTTTAAAAATACATATTTGTATTTTAGATGTTTTAATAATATGAATTAGTTGAACTTAATAATCATATTTAAGTAATGTGGTTAAGTAAATGGTTATCGAACTCAAACTATGGGGTGAGAAAATTAAAATGAAAGTTTTATACGTGCCAATTTAAAAAAAAAAGTTAACGATGTTTGTATTTTGTTTATGCTAATTCTCTTATATGTAGTATTTTGCGACGAAATATTTCATTTATTTTTTAAAGTAAATACCAGTAAAAGTAAATATAATTTTTAAATAGTAATATAAAGCACCTAATATAAATAATTTTGATTTCTAATTTTTTATTTATATTTTCCTTCCATTACACTGCATGCTTAGAAAATTAATAAATGTTTATATTTCATGATTTTAAAATTTGTTGTTAATATAACAAATTAGTTCTGTAATTATTATTATTTAATAAACCAACGTTGCCACACACAAAAAATTTAGAGACTATATTATTTTTAAATAGGATCTAATATAAATAATTTTGACATCTAATTTGTTGTTTATATTTTGCTACTACTTAAAAAAAATATTTATATTAAATGATTTTAAATTTTGTTGTTAATAGGTATAACAAATTTATTAAACCAGTATTTGCTTAAAAACATTCAAAATCATTTTCCTACATCCAAAATAACAATTATTATGGCAGTGTAACAACAGAATATTAATAAAAAAAATGCAGACTATATAGACATACTATCCCTAACTAACTAAAGCCAAACAATAATATTCTTTGCTAATATCAACTAATACCACAATATGGCAACAGCGCCCTTCATAATGTATTTTCTGTGTAAATACTAGCACCTCAATAAAAAAAATAATGTGCCCTTATCTACATCTGACTCCGCAAAAAATCAAAGATGCCGGCTGCTATGAAAGAGCATTGGTCGCGTTCATCAGGACAAGTTGATCAGTGAGCGATGTACCGTCGATTGGTTGTCCTGCTGAACGTGCTTTTTAGATCAAAATCATAAGTAATGCATATTAAATTGTTTTCACCCATTTTTGGCACAAATCGAGAGGATTAGTCAACCGAGAACAATAAACAAAATGCTTTGTTTTCGTTTTCCAAAACATTTTGTGACATTTGGCGTATGTGACGTTTAATCCATCATGCATCGGTAGCGTAGCGTATTTTAAATCTGATGGAAAAAATGGCGACTGATCCCAGAGCGCTCACAACTAATCGGCGCGTTCAGCAGAAAATTAGTGATCGCTGCGGTAGCGCTACGTCCTGATGAACGCGACCATTGCCACCGACCGCTGTCGGGTTTCTCGGAAAAAAACCTACGTCGCCGGGCGACAACTAAAATTCAGTTAATATTTTATTATAATCGATCCTGACGAATAAATGAATTTCATAAATGAATGAATTTTATAAATGAATGGTTTTTGCTGCCGAATTACTAGAATACAATATTTCAAGGCAGATGACGGATCTATTCGATAATTTTTATTCGAATAGTTTTCCACGAATGTTTTCTTACTAACTATCGAATGTTTCGATAGTATTCATTCGATAGTTCCCACTACTAGTTAAAGCGTTAGGACTTTACGCTGCTATGACGTTGGAGCCGTAGTAAGGCAGGTTCGAATTCTAGTCAAGGCGACTTAATCGTTTTTTTTTTTAATTTTTACATATTTATTTTTACTTTTTACATATTTATTATTGATTAATACAATTTTTAGTAATGTGTTTCTTTATTTTTTTTTAAATTACTTATACGCGGATTCAAAATTTCAGCTAAATCGGAAAAAAAGTTTTTATAATAATATAGTGGTCTAATGTTGTATAGATAATGAATGGTACGGAACCCTTCGTGCGCGAGTCCGACTCGCACTTTTCCATAACTTTTCTATATATAATATTATATACCTAAAATTAATAGTTTTTGTAATATTTCAATCTGTTTAAACAAATGTTAAATTGCAGTGTGGTAAAAAATTGTCAGTTGTACCATTGTTTCTGAAGTTGGAGTACCAAAATTTGGTAGGCGAGTTTTATAGAGATCAAGAAAAGATATATGTAAAGATATTTTAGTTAAATGATACGGCGTGTTCAAAATGTATTTATGAATTTCAACTACTTAAAATTAAAAAATCTCAATTTTCACTACAGGATAGTCCGAACTGTATTCCGGAAACTTCAGCAGCATATTTTACTGATAAAAATAAGCAAAAGAGTTCATATAAATGTATGTCCTAAAATGCGTAGTTTCGGAGATACAGGGTGTAGAAGTTTCATCTTTATTTCGATTTTTTACAAATAATTTCTGAAGTAACGTCAATATTTGGATGAAAATTGGTGTCTGGTAGTTTTTTGAGATGAGAAATTTGATTTTGATGTCAATATGACTCCTATTTGTAGGGGGCGCCACCTACATGTGTTTTAACTGTTTTGAGGAGTAATAACTTTTTGTCCGTACCTGTACAAAATGACTGAGTGAAAAAATATATACATTTCCGTGATTTTCTACGTAAAAAAATGTTCTTGGTAGAAATCGCTACGAGCAACCGTTCACAAGATATTTACAATGAAAATAGTCAATACATGTCAGTACTGACTAAAAATAAACATGTTGAGTAGATAAAGTAAACGCCAGGAATGTTTGGGAGTGATTTATCGCTTGATGAAGTTAGAATCGACACGCGCGCTATCATTTTTACATTAAAAACGTAAATTTGACTGCAGACGTAGGTTTTTAAAGCCCCGGTCTAATCATCTGCCTGCGCTCCTCCTACTTATTCTAAAATGTTAACGTGATTGACAAAGACGATACTATATCGCGTTTCTTTGATTGATTCGTTTTTGTGCAGTCAGTCCATTGTGCTTGCAGTGCGACCAATGGGGCATTCCATTTTATATTTATAACCAAATATATGTTTTGACAAGACTTTGACAGTTAAAACAACAAATTACAACAATATATTGATTATTATATGACTTGAAACACCACGGCACTGGAATGAAGTTTTATGTGACCTTGAACAGATTAGTTCACATGGTAGCGACCGATGAATCACTCCCAAACATTCGTGGCCTTTACTATAGTTATTTGACTGAAATGAGAAATTTGGGAACTTTTTGTTTTTTTAAACTAATCATAAATTTTTCTTCTAAAAATGATGATAAAACAGTTTCTGTTGAACTTTTGCCATAAAAACATTTCAAATTTATGATTTTAGTCGCCTAACTAATTAGTCAACATGTTTAATTTATGTCAATGATGACAGGCATTGGTAATTTCGATTCCAAATATCTCGAGAACCATTAATCGTAGCGATTTTTACCAAGATACCTTTTTTACGTAAAAAACGTCGTAAATCTATATTTTTTAACTAGCTAGTTTTATACAGGTACGGACGAAAAGTTATTACTCTTCAAACCAGTTAAAAAATACGTAGGTGGCGCCCTCCACAAGTAGGAGCCATATTGACATCGAAATCAAATTTCTCATGTCAAAAACCTCCCAGACACCAATTTTCATCCAAATATTGACGTTACTTCAAAAATTATTTGGAAAAAATCGAAATAAAAATGAAACTTCTACACCCCGTATCTCCAAAACTAAGCATTTTAGGACATATATTTCTATGAACTTTTTTACTTATTTTTATCTGTAGAACATGTTGCCGAAGTTTCCGGAATACAGTTCGGACCACCCTGTATATTATCATTTTTTCTGATAGATTTTACAAAACTCTTCAGCTTTTAGTATGTACTGTGTCATATACCTATTTTTAATAGTTTACGATTTATTCCAATTTAACTATTTTTACCCATCTTTTTAATACGCAATTACGCTATAACAGTGAATTTTTGAAATTGTCTCCGCATATCAAAATAACTACTAAAATTAGACATACAATGTCTAATC